TTCCCTGCCAAGGGTCCGGGCTAGAGCCACAGAGGATGAGCCAGTACCATGTTCTGCTCACTACTGGCTCTGTTGGGCGACTCGGAGTGTGGGGGTTGGAGGCCAAGCGCCCTTCATGATCCGCCCCCTCCCGAGCCATTACAGTCCCATCCTTAGGATGCCAAAACCGGAGCCCACCACCACCCTCACCTGTGTTCCTCTAATACAGGGCAATTAAAGACAGGGGGGAAAATGAACATGAAACCCCACCCCCTCCACAACTTTCCTGGAAGTCTAAGGGAAATCAAATCGTCCTCTCCCCTCCCAGATATTTCACCAGGTTGAGGGTGGCTCTGACAATGTCCAGATAGTGACTGGGGGTGGAGGGGGGGCAGAGCTTCCTATGGTCTAATCCCTGTTCATCCACTCACAAGGCTGCTCACACGAGGGGCAGACTTCGAGGAAAGAAGGCAAACCCACACTCCCTTGCAGCTGGGTAAACTGAGGCCTGGTTCCTCCCACCCCAGCTGGTCACTAGCCCCCAGCCAAAGCCCAGGCCCAGCTGGCAGGACGTTGGCATGGAGCCACCGCTCCTGGCATCCAGCGCAGCCACTCGCTGAAGGCCGGTGGAGCCGCCGCCCCCCTCTGATGTAAGCTGATATTTTAATTCTCTTACAAGGAATGGTGTTTAGAGAAATGACTTAACCGGATTACTCATCGTCTATAATGACTTGGACCAACTCCCAGTCTATTCCTAGACATGACGCTTGAGGCTTTGATACTTTCTCTCTTTATTCCCCCCACCCTCCTTTTTTTTTTTAATGCCAAGAAATGACACCCTAGCTACGTGAGGCCCCGCCCCACACGGCATCCTGGGAGATGTAGTTCTTTTTTGGCCCTGGCTGCTCTCCCAGCATTTAGACCCGTGCCGGCCTGGCAGGCAGAAGTCACCCACATACTACATACCACAGTTTACCCATCTGTCAAATGTGATGAACAGTCATGGAATGCAGGGTTGAAGGCCAGCAAAGATCTTAAGCACAGTGGCACATGGACACCCCTTTGTTACAAATTCTCTGCCCAGTGCACTTTGTATTGACTGCCAGTCTAGATTTACTACTCTGACCCAGCGTGACACAAAGAATCAGGCTGCATGACCAAGTCTAGAAACTTGTGCACAGAACTTGTTCCTCACCATCATCAGGTGCTCTGGGAACAATAGAGTCTGCTTCAAAGGGCTGGGGTGATTATTAAATGTAAGAATCAAGGCTAGGCATAGTGGTGCAGAGTTGTGATCCCAGCAGTCTGGGAGGCTGAGGCAGGAGGATGGTAAGTTTAATCACAGTCTGGGAAATCTAGTGAGTCAGTGAGACCCTGCCTCAAAATTTTTAAATTTAGAAAGGGCTATAGATGCAGCTCAGCATGAAAGCCCCTGGTTCAATCCCCAGTGCACACACACTCAAAAGAATCGACCAGGTAGGATGCTGGTCCAGCGTTTGATGGGTAGATCCTAGCCCAAGGCATTTCTGCCCATTCTAGCACGCAGACCTCGGCTCAGCCTGGAGTCGGCAAGGGCTGCCCTTCTGCTCCACAAGCTTAGGGACTTTGCTGTGGCCGTGGCCAGGTCTCTGTCTAGCTCAGTGCTTGTGCATAGTAGGACCCAGAGACACATACTGGATGAATGAATGTGTGCATAAATGAAACGTTATCTCTGATTTCCAGATGAGGCACCCACAGCCCAGGGAGGTCGAGTACCTTGCCCAAGGCCACAGTGGGGAGATTGCGGGAGCGGGGAGAGGTGAGAGAGGGGGATGGGGAGATGGGTAG